AAATGAAGCCGCGATTTAAATGATCGCGGCTTCATTTACATTTACATGGCTGCCGCGCTGAGCCGACAAACAGCTGATCAGCTGTTTGTCGGCTCAGCGCGGCAGCCATGTAAATGTAAATGAAGCCGCGATCATTTAAATCGCGGCTTCATTTACCTTTGCTGAACAAACAAATCTACATGCCTCTGCCGACAGAGGCATGTAGTTTAGACATACCCTTTCAGAATATCTTTTCCATCACATGTATGTAATTTCTCACACACAATTTGGTTCAATCAAAAAAAATCTATGATTAAAATCTGTTTTGGTGATAGTTTTTCAACTGTCTAGTTGCAGATGTTTAGTCTTAAACCTAGTTGCAGGCTATAACATAAGAACTAGGGGTCAGCCAATACATTAATATGCAACAGGCTTCAGACAAATAAAAGGAAGCATTTATACACACAATACACAGTCAACCTATGGAACTCATAGCCAGGGATGTTGTGAAGGGCAAAACTTTGACAAAATTCAAAAAAAGAACTATATAAGTGGAAGGAAAGATAGATCCATCAATGGCTATTAGCTGAGATGATTAAAGATGCAACCTCCAATAAGTTGTGTCCCTAGCTTCTGTTTACCAAAAGGGGATGATTAACCTGTTCTGTTCATACCTTCTAAAGCATCTGGCATCAGCTACTGTCAGAAGATAGAAATTCAGCTAGATGGACCATTGGTCTGACCCAGTGTGGCCCTTCTTATGTTCTAAAATTTGAGCTGTTTTGATTGTATATGGACAGTCCTCAGCAATCAAGGTCCCACTCCTGGAATTGGCATTCCAAATACTGATGATATTATTTTTATAAGCACATATTAAAGGTGTATAAAACATCAAAGATTAAATACTGTGCCATGCCTTTCACAGAATCCAGGTGTAAGGACAAGGAGCAGAGAAAAGGTAGGATGGGGGGTCAGAACTGTAATTTGGGAGATTATTTAAATCTCTAATCTCACTGAAGCTATGCTACTAAATTATCAAACGAACTGTACTACTTTTAAGCATCGTATTGCCTTTGTTTCTCCTACCCCATCATAGGTGCTGCTTTACCACCACTGAAGCTAGGAAATTCAATCTGTGCCTTCAAGGCGGATGCCGGTGCATGTAAAGCTATATATACACGGTATTATTTCAACATTCAAACTCATCAGTGTGAGGTCTTTGAATACGGTGGCTGCTATGGCAATGAGAACAACTTCCTAACACTAGAACAATGCCAGGAGACGTGTGTGGTATCAGGTCAGTATCCTTTCTCCTAGCCTCCTGGCTGCATTTTATATTTATTTAGTGTCTACTGTCTTATTTGTTGACTGTGAGTTCTGAAGAGCAGGGTCTGTCTCTTGTTTACATTTCCCAGAAAAATGCGGCCTCCTGCCTGCTGGGGTGAGCTCAATAATTGCTCCCCATACTAGCCTGCACCGAAGCATGTATTGCTGCTGCAGCTTCATTGCCCCAGGACCAAGTTAGCTAGATTAAAGCTAGTCTGGGTACCTCTACTTGACCTATAATCACATCCTGGGTTTATACTGGTTTTAGACCCCTCCCCCCCCAAAAAAAAGAACTTGAATGACTATGTTGCAACTATCCAGCTTTTCAGTTGGGTTTATACAGTGCACACTACCACATCTTCATTGCTTTGGGACCTAAGATAACTAGCATAAAGCTAGTTTAGGTATGCTTACACAAGCTGTAAATATCCCCTCAGGCCAGGTCCACACTGCTGGGGAAGGTTGGCATAAGGTACGCAATTCCAACTATGCAAAAAACAAGCTGGAGTTGATGTATCTTAAGCTGAGCTTCAGTGCTGTCTTGATAGCGGGAGGTAGATGGAAGAAATGCTCCTGGCAACTTTCCTTCCTCTTCATGAGGAGTAGGTGCATCGGCGCCTGTGAGGATGCCCTCAGCATGTGATTTAGCAGGTCTTTACTAGACCTGCTAAATTGAATGCTGGAAGATCGACCACCACAGTGTCGATCTTCCTGCATGTGGTGTCATGGCTGAAGAGTGAGCAAATCTTCAGTGTTGGGTGTGAAGGTTTTTTATGTAAGGTTCTGGATAAAGGTTGCTGTGTAAAATCTGTTCTTGAGGAAAAGTTACTCCCTTGATGTTGGGCTGACATTGTTGAAAGAGGGAATTGTCTGCACGCTGATAAACACCGCTGATCCAGGATAGGTATAAATAAAATGATTCTTAAAATATACCCAGACTCACATCTCCAGCATCTCTGATCCCGAGAAGTCCTCAGATATTTGCTGCTGCTACTTGACAAAAAGGCACAATAATGAGTAATAATACTCACTAGGAATATCCTTAATTTTTCTTCTCTGTAATGCCTGTAATTGTTCAGTTTTACAATCTGAATAAGGCTTCACCAGCTAACCAATAAAAATAAAATCATAGGACGTCTATCAATATACACATTCAAGATCCCAGACGTACAGCTAGGCTGTCATCCTGGACAAAATATGCTTTTAATGATTATTCTGCTAACGAAGAGGGAAGGAAATTGAATGGCTTGTTTGTTTGTTTTTAAAGAACTAAGCACCTTTACGTCCTGCTCACTTTCAAAGGTGCTATAGGTGCTCCACACCATTAAAATTAGAACAAAAGTTCAACACCACTGAGAAATTCCACATACAGAGTATTAAAATCTCATATCAATCACAGAAGTATTTTGGATGTGAAGGTGGCATATCCCCTATTTCCTTATCTGACATGGATGTCCATTTTGTCTGAACTTGCTACTTGAAACTGGAGACTCTACAGAAATGTTTAGATTCATTTTGTAGTAAGAATAGATCAGCTTTATTTTAGCATAGAAGCTTAAATTGTTTCAACTGCAAAATAGAGAAAGATCTACAGAAGAGCTGATATTGGCATTTTTTGTAGAATATGAGTGTGAGTGTACAGGGAGCACAACATTTTCTATTAAATACTAATCATAAAGTGCTTGGGGCTCTCTAGCCTTGTGCAATCAGCCTTCAGGACTGTTCTCCCGCGGAAGTGCTACAGTCTTCCAAAGTGAGGGTAGCTTTTAAATCAGAAAGCAGCTGCCCCCTTGTGGATTTCATACAAATGATTTATGAATTCATTTCCTCAACAGTGATCAATTTTCAGTCACAAGCCCTCCCTGGCCTAATTGCAAAATATCGCATGAAATGATAATGGACTCTGTTGACCCATTGACATAGGCGATTATGTGATTCCTAGGCTGAGCAATGCACAGACAGTTTGGAATAGATTTATGTCTTGTCTTTTTTGAAAGCAATCTGAGGGCCCTTCCTGTAGGTTTCTGTGCAAACGTCAGTAAGAGTCACTTTTTTTTTTGTTCTCACCATCTTCAGAGCATACTCCTGTAATTTAGAAATATGCTGGGAATATGCTGATGTGCTCTAGGCATCCGGCCAGCACTGCAGTATAAAAATTGACCTCCTGGGAACAGTGTGTGTCATCTTAGTACTTGGCAAATTTTTGTATCTCATAGAATCAAATTCTTAATCCTGGAAAATTATTTAGAAACCAGGAGTTTACAATAAGAATTCAGAAGATCCTTTCGTACTGATCTAGAAGTTGCAGCTTTAAGCAGAGACCTTTTACAGCAGTGTGCTGTGTCTGTGTTTGATGCTAGATGCAAAGGGTAATCTGTTTTCTCCTCCCTCATCACTCCTGGCTAACAATTTGGAGTCTGTCACTAAGGCTTGACCCAATGCCCAGTGATATCAATGGAAGTCTTCCCCTTGACTTCTGTGGTCTCTAGATGATGTCTCAAATGTGTCTAAGGGGAATCCCAGAAAAGATCTGTATCTATATAACTATCAAGAGCCATGTCACTAGCCCAATCCCAAAGAGCTTTGTAATGGGCCTGTTTTCCCTCAAAGTATTAGAATGATGTTCAGGGAAGAAAAGCTAATGGAGCAGGTGTGCAAGGCACATCAGGCGCTAAAATGTTTCTTAGCACTTACTGTAAATAGCACGTCTCATCCTCACAGGTTGCAGACAATTAATCCTCCCAAGGCTCATAAGAGCTAAGTACCATAAATAAATAGTCTAGTATCTCTTTATTACAGGTAGGGAAATAAAGATAGAGAATTTAACACTTATTCTACGTCCATAGATTGAATTTGGGTCAAAGCCAGGATTATGACTCAGGGGTTGTAATTTCAAAAGTAACAAGGCATATTGCTTCCTTAATGAATACCTGGAGTAGGCATAGAGTTAAGAAACTCTGGATTTTATTCCAGTGATTTCCTGCATGATTGTGGGAATGCCATTTAACTGCTCTGTGTTTTAGTTTCATCATCTATCACATGGAGATAAGATTTCCTTCTTAGAGTGGTGTGGTGAGGCCTAAATGGCTGAATTAACGGGCTAGATTCTGTGAACTAAAAGGAACGGATTCTCATGAAAGCCTGAGTTAAAATGATATATGTGCTGAAGTAAGTTAACAGAAATAAATACCTGTAGTATACTTTGCACCAATTTATATTCACTGGGTGGGCAATATACATGCTGAGGGGGGAGAAAAGCAGCTAACCAGAAGGTTAAGTTCTCTTACACTCTCCTGATAATTCCTTTTATCTCCTGCTGCTTCCTTTGACTCTCAAAGACAGAAATTGTGTTCATTTTGCACTCTTACTGAACACCAAATCAGTGCAATTTATACCACTTACACCTTTTTTCTGATCAATCTGCACAAATTGATTACTTTAGTTCTATACTTAAACCACTAGAGTACTCCCATTCCACTGTAAATTGATTTAATATCAGGCTAAAAATCTGAATTTCAATTTCAGAACCAAAGTGGACTTAATTATAATTGTTAAAAATATTCTATTCGATATGGATTCTGCTTGGAGTTTGTCATGTCCAACCCCTGAGCTCCCTCTGCGGCATAGAAATTTCACAGCTGAATTTCAGCAATGACCTGTGAAAGTGACAATGACCGTCACTGCTAACCCTTCAGCAGACCTTCCAGTGCAGCTTTCTAGACAATGGACTATATTAAAGCTCCATTTTGGTGGCTTCTGCTAAAAAACAGAACTAAGCCTCCATAGTGAAAATTCCTTTAGGGGAGAAGTTGCAACCACGGAAAGCTAAATCTGTTCTCAGGGGTTTCAGATGTTGTTTGCCCTGTATTTACCCTGGTGTCACTGAGATTAAAAGCTAGAGTCCTGCCAGCAGCAGCAAGTGCATGTAAGAATGATGTAGCCCCCCCTCAAAAAAAGAATATGAATGACAGATGGGATCCCCCACCTGCTGAAGCAACAGATGATTCCAGAACCATTAAGGTGGCATTAATCAGCATTTCATAGTGTGAAAGAACAGAGGCTGAATGCAAGAAAAACATCTTTCTGAATTAAGACACCAAAAACTTACTTTCAAAGAAATGTGATTCTGTGGATGTCAATGAAACTGTGCCAATGTGTCTCGGTTCTAAATGGGCTCATGAAACCCACTGGGGAATGACTTTTAAAGGGGGTTGGTGAGGGATACATCGTATTTCTGTTGTCCAGCAATGCAGATATTAGTTAGGTTTTTTTACAGCCATATGCCCAGACTTGTGTATATAAGTTAATACATACTTTATCAAAGGTTTTCACAAAGATTTTTTCCCCCTATTCCTTAAGAATGTACCAAATTGAGGGGGGAGATTGTTCTTGGCAGGAAATCCAGTCCGGACAGGAGTTCAACTCAAATGAACCTGGAATCCTTGATCCAGTACACAAAGCCAGCATGAGCAATCACATCCCAGTCCATTCCCACTTCTTATGTTTCCTTCCTTGGCTACTCCAGACTGCCCTGTCAATCTCTCTAGCTATTTGTCCTACACAGAATTGAATCTTCAGAGGTCACTATGAAATATTTTATGAGTCCTTTTTTTTCTTTGTAAAATCTGACTCAGCAAAGCACTAAAGCACAGGCTTAAAGTCAATGGGACTATTTAAGTGCTTAGATGCATCAAATCGTAAATGAATATTTATAATGTGAAATATTTTGTGCTCCTCAAAGCAATGATTCCCTGTCTCCTATAAATGCCTGTTTTTGTCATATACATGTCCTTCAGTCACAAATAACTTATATTATTTTTCATTACAACCAATGCAGTATTAAAGAAATTTTAAAAAGAAAAAGTATATACTAGTCAAATTGTATCATTCCTATTTGGCATAGATCTAGTACATTTAGCTACCACTGGGATTTTTCATGGAAATTACTGTTTTGCAGTTATATTGGTGTCA